ATGCATAGATGCAATCCTTTATTCATAAATTTGTAGCTTCAGTTTTCTAACCTGATAGCCAGAATATGTTCACTTTATCATGGCACTCTTAAAAGATGGATCATATTCCATCGAGTAGGCCAAGGGTCAGCAAACTGCTCTGGGAAGGCCCAAATAGGAAATACCTTAGGGTTTCAGGCATGCACCTTTTATACCAACTACTCAGCTCTGCTGCTGAAGCAAAAACAGTCACAGATACTTGGTAAGTGGAGGGTATAGCCACATTCCAATAAAACTTTATTTACAAAGGCAGGGCATAAGTTCGATGTGGCCTACAAGCCAACACCTGACATAGATGTGCAACATTTTCACTGCTGTTCTAGCCCTTTCCAATCATAGCACTGAGAGTTGCTTGTAGTGTTCAGTGTTCCATGACTATAAATAATGCTCCATGCAATTTGCTTCACGTTTTCCCTTTGACTCTATTCTGGGACAGTAAGTTTGGAGTAAGATGGATATAGGCTTCCATCCGGCAGGCCAGTGAGTGAGCCTGCACGGGCTGCTCTTCAACTGTCTGTTTTGTTATCTACAGAGGGGATGAAGAGATCAGATGCACAAGATTGTCAGGAGGGCCCTGTGTGATCCCTTGTCCCAGAGCCTTGCGCAGTGTCTGGCAGATGGAAGGACTTAATCTATTTGTTAAGTTGCCTTGGATACTAGAGTCTTAGGAGTACTGGAGACTAGATGACATGAGAGAGAGAGAGAGAGAGAGAGAGAGAGAGAGAGAGAGAGAGAGAGAGAAAGAGACCCATTGCTCACCATGTGGTAAGCCCTAAAAACTAATTGATGGATGGATTCATGAACAGGACTTTGAAGCCCAGTTTTGTCCTTTGTTAGTTATGTGACCATAGACAACACACTTGTCTTTCTGTGATTCACCTTCTGCATTAGTCACTTCCCTATCCCTGAGACAAAACCCCTGACCCCTGCAATTTGAATGAAGGGAGCTTTGTCAAGGCTCATAGCATCAGTGGGCTCAGTCTGTGGTCGGCAGGCTCCATGGCAGGGTCTGCGAGGGAAGCACCTGGCAGAAGAGAGCTGCTGCCGCAGGGCAGCCAGGAAGCAGACAGACACGGAAAGGACCGCCAGGCCCAAGAGTGCACGCTTCCAGGTCGTGCCCCCAGGAGCCCACCTCTTCCAACCAGACCCTGCCTGAGAACAAGGAGACTTGAGGGACATTTTAAGTTTAAAGTATAGCACCTTCTTTCTCGGAAAAAATGCATGAAACACATAGAGACATCTATAGGTGCTCAGGGACGAGGCACCTGCAGAGTAGGTGAGATGCAGTAGGCTGTCCGCCTGCAGATCCATGACGGGCATTCGATGGGATGAGGAGTAAGCGGGACCTTCTGTTGACTTGAAAGTCTCGGTGGGGTACACCAATCCAGGGCTGATTCTGAGGCAGCTGCATGCCAGATGTCAGCTGCTGGCGCTGGCCCTGGGGAAGAGTGCTCCCTGTGGGCTCTCAGGGTATGCTGCTCAAGCAGCCCAGGTCCTGTGAAGGCCAAATAGAAAGCTGGCCTTTCCTCCAGCCTTTTGGCGCTATGAGTGGAGCCTGGACAATCCAATGAGCTGTATCCCCCATAGGATGACCCAAACTCCATGAGAAGCAACACTCAGCACAGATGAGGTGGCCATCGGATGAGCTCCAGTTGGGCGAACTGCAGTTGTCCTTATTAAGTTCATTGTCACTGTCACTGGAGCCAGGAATTTGGGATTTCTTGGGGCCAGACCTCCATTTACCCTTCTGCTTATTCATCAGTTCCTAAAGTCAGGTGTTCACATCTTCTCAGAAAGTACTGTGCCCTCTCAGCCATCTAGCATGTTTATCAGGGATCTTGCTTGTGTTGGGCCTTGCACTCACTGCTGTGAACTGCCTAGCTAGACCCCATTCACGGAGAACAATAAGCACACCTAAGCTTCACTGGGTGCCAGCACCATTCTGGGCATTGTTCTTGGATTAGCTCATTTCATTCTCACAATAGCCCCATAGTGACTGCTATTATAGATGAAGAAATGAAGGCACTGAGAGGTGAAGCAATCTTCCCAAAGTCCCACAGCTAGTAAGTGTCAGGGTCAGGATTTGAACTGCAGGATTTGAACTGCAGCAGCTTGAGATCAGAGCTTGTATGTTCAGCTCTCCTTGTGCTGCTATGTCTCTCTGGCCTTGTGCAATGTAAAGTCTGTCTTTTCTTCTATCTTTCATTTAATTATTGCACATTGATAATACAGAATAATGATGTTCATTTTGGGGGATTAGTACAAGCACATGACACATCTTGGTTATTTTCACTTCCTTCAGCCCCTTTCTGTTTCTCTCCACTCTCCTCTCCCCTCCTCCAAGATCCTGGCTCTTAGAAGAGGCAGGTTAGAATAACGCCAGCAGCATTTGAAGTCCATTTCATTTGCTGAGAAGCAACTGGGCAGTACGGATGTTTATCAGGTACTGGCCACCACCCAGGCAGCGGGAAAGGATCAAGGTCGGAGATGGGCTCTGGGGCTGTGGTGCACAGCGGTGTCCTGCTGCCCCATGCCCTCTGGCAAGACTTGTCACCTTTGAGCTTCCAACTCTTTATTCACAAAATAGATCATCAGCATCTATTCTGCCTCCCTCCAGATTTTTTTGTGGAGGCTAAATGAGATAGCAGGTAAAAATAAGACTTCAAAAAGGAAAAAAAATCACTGGACAGGAGTTTGTGATTGGACCAAAGTGAAAATTTATGTATGGGGCTTGCCTAGCATTCACAAGGCCCTGGGTTCTATTCCTAACATCAAAAGGAGAGAGAGAGGAAGAGAAGAAGGGAGGGAGGGTAAGAGGGAGAGAGGGAGAGAGGGAGAAAAGGAAAGAGGGAGAAAGGGAGAGAGGGAGAGAGAGAGAGAGAGAAAGAGAGAGAGAGAGAGAGAGAGAGAGAGAGAGAGAGAGAGAGAGAAGGAGAGAAAAAGGGAGAGGGAGGGAAGGAGGAAATTTGGTGTCAGTTCGAGGAATGAAAAAGTGATTTTACCAGACCTGCAAACTGACTGTGAAGGACAAGCGGCTGCCTTCAAGCAATCTGTTGGTGTTTTCGAAGTTCCAATAAGACTTTATTGGCCATACCTCATGCCCCTGTAGTTATTTTGCATCTGATTTTGTGTGAACCTCCAAAGCTGATTTAGTAATCACTTATTAATGTCTTTCAGAGACAAGCATTCTACTCAACTCTGTGGGGAAGACAGAGATGAATTTAGAATGGTCTCTGCCCTGAGGGGCTCATGGACTAGGAAAAGAAACAGTAGAAATGGTAATAATAATAGTGTAAGGGCCAAGTAGATAGCTCAGTGTCTAAGTGCCTGCCTGGCAGGCACAAGGACCTGGGTTCAATCCCCAGTAACACATGTTGTGCTGGCCCTACCCCAGGCCCACCAAGTCAGCCACCAAAACCAGGCATAGTAACGCATGGCTGTAATCCCAGTGCTGGGGAGGCTGAGGATCACCATCAGTCTGAGCTGTGTGGCAAGATACTGTACTAAATACATAAATTTTGAAAAAATTTTAAAAATAGCATAAAAAATAATGACCACTAATTATTGGGTGTTTCCCATATGTCCAGTATCATGCTAAGATTTTGTACATGTTACTTCATTTAATCACTGCAAATCTGTGGATTACAAAATCTACTGTCCCCATTTTATATCAGGAAACAGATTCAGACAGGTTCAATCACTTCTCCCAAACCCACACGACTCTGTAGTGACAAAGCTGGCACGAACCTGAGAAAAGCCTGTGGCCACACGTAATTCTGTTGTAAGGTAGGAAAGGCCGTGTCCACTTCTCACTGAAGGGCAGGATAGGCCTCTCTGCACTAGGGAGGGGAAGGGTGGTGGCGATGGCTCCACGGCTGGTAAGGACAGCGGTGGAGCTTAGGAGGCGGCAGTGGGAGGCACGCTGCTGCCTGCTGGACTCCTGCTCTGTGCTAGGCTCTGGCCTGGGTGCCTCCTGCTATCCCAGTCAATTCTCATAACAAAGTGCCAGTGCCAGGATTCCCCTCCATCAAAGCCCTGAGGACTCAGAGCTTCAGACAGAGGATTGCCTGCCCCGGGACACGCTCTCTCTCTGCACAGCCCCTGCCCGGCAGGCCATGGGCGTCCCAGAGCTGCTCCAGACATATCTGTTGAATGAATATTGAATAGACAGATGCCCTGGGGCTTCAAACCTTAATCCCAGGAGACAGGAATTATGTCTTGAATGAGTATATGTGTATTCATTATTCAATCTATATGGTGGTGCTGTGATTACTAAAATACAAGTTGATTGTAAAGCGTTGTGTTCCTTGTAGTTTTGTGTTATTTATTTTCTCAATATGAAGACCCTTTAAGTGTGCAGTTTTGGCTGGAGGAGTTTTGAGAAACATTGCACACAGAGGGGTCCATGTGGCTCCAGTGTTGGCCACGCCCCTGGCCCACACTGTATGCTGCAGGTGCTGTGCCTGCTGTCTGCAGCATGACCCTGTGGGAGAGGGGAGCCAACCTCCAGGCTGGGACAGGAGCCCAGGGCCTTGGTCCTCAGGCCCACATGCTTTTCTAACTAGACAAAGTCAGAGCTCTCGGTGGCTTTGTCTCCATAAGACCTTATACCAACCAAGTTTCCAAGTGACTATTGACTGTGCTTGTAAATAGGTGAGAGACAGAAAAGGAGTTCTCTGATCAGTGCCCAGGAAACCCGCCAGGGCCTTTCCCCACTTAGTACAGGAAAGCAGACTCCCAAGCCAGGGAGGCTGAGAGCGCCTGCGGTCCACAGGAGGGAGCGACTATGGCTTCTACTCTGGGGTGAAGTGTGGAGGCTGTGGCCAAGCGTGCGGGGCCGGCCCCACCCTGCAGTCACTGTGCTGGGGAAGGGCCGGGTGCTCCATTTGGGGATGCATTTTTCAAATTCAAATGCAAACTTACAGATGGTGGTGGTAATACTCCCACTCCTCTCCTCGCAGGCCCCTCCAGCACAGTCCTCGGAGCGCTAGGAGTCTCTGACACCCTCCCCCCATGATGTTGCAGCTGCTGTCTGCCAGGTAAGCTCTCCCTACTGGCCCACCCGCAGGCACAGCCCAAAGACTCTGGCCATGCCTGACGGCCAAGCAGTAGGGAGACATGGCCTCAGCTCAGGTGGGAGGACGGAGCCCCAGAAGACACGGGCTCCAAGAAGAATCTACCCTGTGTCCAGTACCCTGCAGCTGGCACTGATGTCCAGCATCCAGCACATGCTGATGGGAGAGCCCAGAAAGGAGGCCAGGGATCTGGCTGTGACCTCAGATCTCTGCCTCTGCCTCTGGACAGTCTCGAGTAAACATCTCTCTTTCTGGGGCTTTGCTGCCTTGTCTTTAGAGTGAGGCAGTAGAATTGCACTAAAGTGAGCAGAATGACTCCTGCCAGTGGCACAGTGGTGCTCAGGATGGCACTGCAACTGCAGGCCTCTTTCCCAGGATTCATTCTGTTCAGTTACTCCCGGGCCTCACTGACAGACAGCCCTGGGCCCAGTGTACATGTGCTCGAGCATGCCTTTGCAGGTGGGAAGGAGAGACGTCTGACAGTCTGGCATGCAGCCCTCCGTAAGCGAGCGTCCCAGTGGAGTGGATAGATGTGTAGCTAGCTATCATATGGCAAAACCTGTGAGGCAAGGAGCAGACCCTTTCTGTCTGGGCTTTGGATGTGGGACTGGACTGCAGAGTGGTGTAGACAGCAGACCCTCGCTGTGGCTGGTCTCCCATGCTCAGGGCCCCACTGTAGACAGCTGCTCTGGCCACATGACCGTCTGGCTTATCCTTCCTTTTGCCACCCCACCAGTTCTGCTGTCTGGGTCCCTGGAATACAGTGAGTCCCCCAGGACAGCAACCTGCTAAAGATCCAGTGTAGTGTGACACCCCTCTTAGCCTCTCCTCTTCTCCAGCTTATAGCAAAGTGGCTCCAGCCCCAGAGCAGTTTCTGTATGCTAAACTACTTTGCAGTGGTGGAGTTTTACAGTTGCTTCTCCAGGTAAGACTTAGAATACTGCCACATCATTGGGCCGTGGAGTGTAGAAAGAGCAGGTGCTAGAGCCAGCAAGAATTGCCTTGAAGCCCTGCCTGCCCTGCCTGTAGGGAGCAAGGGACCTGTGAGCCTCTTGGTCTCATTGTTAAGTACCTTCCTCCTCACATAGTTCCAAAATCAAACACAAGAGATTGTGTGCAAGGCTGCCCAGGCCTGGGCCTCCTGCAGTCAACACTTATGCTTCCTGCTCCTCTCCCAGCTCCTGTCACTGCCATGCAGCAGGCGACTGGAAAGATCTGTAAGGCTTTGGGTTGAAAAGGCTGGCATGTGTGGTTACCACCTGTGCCTTAGCAGTTAGGTGAAGCCAGTGGACTTGACTTTCTTGGGAAAGGCTCATGCAGCTGGCACTCCATACCAGGCACTGGGGAAGTCTGGGGGCCAGGCAGCAGTGGAGGGTCCTTTGCTCACATAAGCAAAGGAGCAGAGAGGCAGCATGAGAAGAAGCAGCTGAGGCACTGTGAGAACTCCATACTGGGAGATAGCTCAGCAGTGTAAGTGCCTGCCTGGCAAGCACAAGGCCTTGAGTTCAAGTACCAGTACAGAGAGAGAGAGAGACAGAGAGAGAGAGAGAGAGAGAGAGAGAGAGA